AATGTTTCTTTAATCCTAATAAATTCTGTAACGTTGTGTCTTGAAACTCCATAAATAAATCCATTACATTATTCATGTCAGCTTGTTTGATCATTTTTTTAGTGTCATTAAACTGAGAATAAACTTTGACTTGGCCGCCATTTGACTTTGCCATTAATCTGAGACCGTTCCCAACTCGTAAATGGATCCGTCTGGCAGCGGAGAGGCTGAAACTAGAGGAGAACATGGAAAAGCTGCGGTCAGAAATACTCTGAGCCCACTGGATGGAGCTGCAACGACACCCCGCATCACAGAAAGCCAGTCAAACCAGAACCAAGCAGAGGATTAAAGCCCAAACCAAACAAGCCAAACAGAGCCACCTTGTATTTTATGTTTCTTATCTCTTACTACATCTGTCTTTTAAATACCACACCTATTGCAGAGAGAGTATGTGATAAATGAGTGTGATAGATGCTGATAAAAACAACAACAAAAAAAACAGCAGAGGAATGTGACTGATGCAATGTTAAGATGAAATTATTTTTGTTTTTTTTTATTTTGACACAAAGTGTTTGTCGATGGAGCAGATAGATTTAGTAATGACTTGTAATTGACACCGCAATAGGACAGAAAACACTGTGTTTTTATTCAATAACTTTACTTGGATTACAACAACACCAGCTGAATGCTTAAAGTGGAAATAAATGGCTAATGAGTGTAACATAAACAGCTGGACGGAATGTGAACTTAATGCTTCACTTTTTTTTTTCCCCCTCTTAATATTCTAAGTTTAAATTCTTGACACTTTCCATTGCAACAAAAAAAAAACAAAACAAACCAAAACAAAAAAAGACAGAGTGTTGACCCAGACTTAAAATGTTAGTTTTAATATAGTTTTGCACTGTTGATGACTCCAGATACATTTATGAGCATTATCCAACAAAGCAAACCAAAGTCTAACCCAAACAAACCGGGATGAAAGGCGGCCTTTGATCCGCGGCCGACCGTAGTGACTTCAGCACTTCAGCTCGATTGTTTTCAGCTGAGGTTTCTCTGGGTGGCTTCACTTCAAGCTACAACTGAAACTGCCGGAACAGGATTTACTCGGGATTTAAGAACCACAAAAGTTGGTGGTGGAAAAAAAAGAAAAAAAACAACTCTCCAGCTCAACCAAGCAGACTGTTATGTGCAGAGTTGCTGCAAAGTAGCCCCCCTTGAGTTATTGTGATATAGCATGACAAAAGCTCTAACTTGGTGTCTTTGAGCTAAATATACGCTGTCTTCTCAGGCCCATGAGCTCTGTCATTTCACACCATTACCGGTGCCCTGCAGAGCTTTCTGTTGAGGCTACGACAGCCTACATTCCGTCTGATCATAGTTGTGTGTGACATTTCAAAGAGGATTATGAGAATGAAATGTGATAAAAACTATTTTCACGTGACCCCTGAGCACTTGACCCCTGATAGGCTAGTGGGGCGTAGCACCGAGGTAACAGACTTCTGGGACTCACATGTTGTGGAGATCTGGCTTCCTCGAAACCGGACGACGGAAAAGAAATACGAGAAGGAAAAATTTAAAAATGTTTCTTGAGAAATGTGCTCATTTATACCACAATCAGTTATGAATTTGAGCAGAATTCAGTCCAAAACTAAAAGCCAGATTCTCCACCAAAAACAACAACACAACAAAAGGTCATCAGCAATAAAACCAGATGTAAATGTAAGACTGAATATCCACACACACTCACACACACACAGTCCTCTCTTCTGTTAATATATTATTGTGTATTTGTTACTCGTGGCCAACACAAATAGCGTTATGTGCTTGAACATGTTGACAAAGCAGCCACGGCTCATTGGTGGTTGATGGATGGCCGTGTGTGCCTTGCTAATTATTAGTACACATAAAAGGATGCTGTTATTTCCAGACCTGGCCTCAGCCGGAGGAGGTCACCGGGTAAATACGGAGCCATCAGTCTGCGACTATATCACTCAATCTTGATGTATGAGCAAAGAGGTACAAATTAAACGTGCAGCAACCTTCTAGGGGGTACCGCACTCAACAGGACGCCATTTGGGCTAATTCCTGTACGGGGGCTCGGACAATAAGCCACTATAGCACACGGTGCAATTACTTTGTATACACACATCTGGAATTAGGCTCCCAGAGGAAGCTAATACACTTAAAAAACAGACTCTTTTTAGATGTGCAAAATTTAGTATGTGTGGTGGGAGCGTTCAGCTATATGTGCGCAACTTTAAATGCAGAAGCTGATGAACATTTCTTGACCTTCTGATGTCATCTGCTTAAAGTTAATCACTGAAACAAGGACAAAAGCTCCTCTTTGAGCATCCAGGTCAGAGAGGATTACATGACATACATACAGTATCCCTTAAATCTCTTGCTTGCCTTCTATTTTCCCCCTCCGCACATGCAGGCTTCCCCACTCCAGTTACAGCCATCTTGCTTCTATTTGACGACATTACAGCCCCACTTTCCATACCAATCCTATCTGTGTCATTCTGACAAACACTGGGAGAGAGAAAGAGATGGACCCATGCGGGAGCCTCCAGAAAACGGGTTGCATCTGGATTTTATAGCAGCTCAATTTTCTCCGCTGGTGTGTGGCACAGATTGGATGTGATGAGCCCGAGCCGGCTAACGTGGAGCCTGTGTGAATGTCAAACTCTGGACTGATATTGATATTGATCCATAGGTTGAGACAGTTGCTGAGCATCAGCCACAACACGACAGCGAGACAACGGAGCGGAACATGAATCTGCATCACGAAAAATACCCAGGACATTAGGGAAGAGGATTAGTCCCGGACTGCTGTTATTATCTCGAAAATGTGGTTAGCGCTGTCTTTCCAAGTAATTTACGGGGATTATCGTCTTGTTTGTGTTCTTGCGTAGGCTAAATTGCAAAGTATGTTTCCACAGCAGCCATGCATCACGTTGTGTATGAAAACCCAGAGTTTTTCTTTGCTGGAGCTTCAACGTTATCAAAGTATTTTAAAACTCAAGTACAAATATTTATAACTTTATTGATAGTTTACTTGTACAAGATGTACATTCATATTTTGTGAATCAAAAGGGGAAAAACAAACTGTACGATGATTCATGTTTAGGCATGCTTGCATATGAAATGGTAATCATTTTAATGGGTACAACAAATTCCATGGAGTATTGTTTAATTCAACCATCCCTGAAATGTTTGTAAACTCGGACACGCTACATTTTTTTTTTTTTTTTAGGCAAACAATGCACTACAGCCACACCTCCTAATTCAAATTTAACACTTAAAAAAAACATACAAAAATAAATGCAAAGCCATGTAAAAATGTACACTTGTAGTTCAACTATTTCATCTTTCATAAACTTTCAGACAAAATAATAAATAAAACACCCATATGTTTAATTTAAAATGGAGACATAGATAAACATTTCTAAATGGAGGTCTGTTAACACAGAAAATGTTGTTTGGAGACTGTTAGAGGTACGTAGACCGGAAACCGATCTACGTATTTAGCGCAGCTCTGACAGCAGTGTTTTTAAAAAAAGGTTCTCAAACTAATCTTTGAATTTCATCCAAATGTTTTGGTACAATTTGTAAAAAATACAGTCTGGATTATTTGGAACTCAAAAGATGAAATGTCACATATAACATGCAAAATTAAGCTAATCATATCGTAAACAACTGCCTGGTTTGGGGGTTACAGTGCTGATTTGTTGATTTTAACATGAATAGTTTTCCAAAATCCAAACATAAAGGAATTGTTGTTAGTAGAGTAGTTAAGAGACTTTTTATTTACCCTAATTTCTGCAGCATCCAAAAAAATGTGCTCATGTCTTCCTCAACAAGTGACAGCTGTGCCTGATGTATACAAAACAGTTTGAATACATAGGAGGTTATGTGGGATATGGCACCTGGTTTTGAGTGACTTTCCTCGAACAAAATATACACTGTCGTAAGAAAAACTGGCGTGTTTGGCAAAGAAATTCAACACTCCAACAGTGCATGAAAAAAAAACACAACAAAAAGAAAAAAAGTCATTGGGTCTCTTTATCGTTGAGGATTAACTGCTAGCTGTTTTTACTTTTTTGCTATTTACAGTATTGCACTTAAACTGCACACCATTGCATTTCAGTTTGACTGATGCTTTCTTCATATTTTCAGAATTACAAAAAGAAGAAAAGAAATCAAAATCCCATATACCCTTTATCCAAGATAATGTCCTGTTTCGCTGATCACATGACGATATCAAATCCCGCTCCCCCGTTTTAATTAGTAAAGTAGTATCTGCTTGTAGTGCCATTTGTAAACACCCACGTACACGACATGAAGTGCAAAGGCTATCTTCACTTCTTTACCCAAGATACAACACAATAAACAGAAAGAAATAAAGACACAGAGAGAGAGAGAGAGCACACTGTGAGGAGTGATGCGAACCAAGTCTCGCCGTGACACATGCCCAGCAACGCAGAATAACGTCTCTCCCCTCTGCAGCAAAGAAAAAATAGAGGAATTGTTGCTTTTGTTACAGCACGAGTCCATAAGAGGAAGGAGTATCAGACTTGTAATGGAGACCTTTGACTTTGAAGGGGGATTTGTGGGCATGTTGAATGGCAGTGTTAAAAACAGGTGACGAGCGTTTGTGTCAGGTGTGGATGGAGACCAGTCCCACAACGGTCCTCCATTAGAGCTCATGCACTTGGCAGCAGCAGGGAACACAGTGGTTGGAGACAAATATGGCCTTTTTTTAAAAATGTTTTCTTTTTTTCTTCTCTTTTTTTTTTTTCTAGTGTGGGGCGGCGGGGCAGAGGGGGCGGGAGAGAGGGGGGTAAAAGATGAGAGCCGTTCCAATGCCTCGTGAGGTGGTGTGTGGGTCTGTTTTCCCCAAAGCTCAACCCTTGTCAACATGGCGGCAGCCAGCGTCAGCGAGGCTCTGCTTTTGGCCCTGCTGCTGCCTGCCAGTTTGCTTTGTTCTAACGTCTTCTGGTCTGACGGGCCCCGGCCGGCCCTCAGACAGACATCCACATGTGTTTGTACGGTCCTTGGGATGTGATCTGTGCCTGGAGTGGACTGAGCCACTGGCCCCGCAGAAGTCCTGCCTGTTGGGCGAAAAGTAAAAGGTGATTTCATTGGTATTTAATTACCGTTCTCTACAAGTGGTTTGTTTTGGCAGCTGGTTTTGTGACAATTTTCTCGCTCCCTCCTTCTTTTTTTATTTTCTTCCTCCACTGTTCTCCCCCTTTCTCTCTCACACACACTCTCTGTCTCCCCCCTCTCTGTATGTGTTCCTCTCTTTCATTCTCACTCAGTGTTTTTTGTTTATTTTAGTTTTAGCTGTGAGTGTCACGGCCCTTTCACAGGCTCAGTCTTGTGTGAGAGGCGATTATGGGCATCAGGCGAGCGGAGGGGCAGCCCGGTGGGGTCAGAGTCCCAGAGCCTCGGTGTGTTTTCTTGCCTTGAGTCGCAGGTCGGCGATGCTCGAGTTCTTGCTGTTGCTTTTGGCAGCTGCTGCCACCGCCGCCGCTGCGGAGGCCGAGTCAGCGAGAGATGCGATTGGTAGTCCGAAGGGAGGGGGTGGGAACATCAGGTAGGGAGCATGAGCAGCCAGGTGAGGGTGCAGGTGGGGGTGGGAGTGGGTCACCCCATCTAACTGGAGCTGTGCTTGGACCTGCAGAGCAGCAAAATATAAAGTTAGTCAGCATGAGCGCCTCAGGGCATGTGTGTGCGCGGGCGTGTGTGTGTGTGTGTGCGTGTGTGTGTAGAGTTGAGGATTTAGGTTTCACAGTCTGACACTATTAAATTCCCCCTCAAATTTTACCCCCTCAAAGCTGTTGCTTACAGTGTGTTTTCTAAGAAAATAGTTAAGGGCTGCACTCTGCGCTTTAGCCCTTTTTTCATGTCAGCTATTCTAAAAGTTAATGAATCATACATTGCTCTCAGACACCACATCCAATTTAATCGTCTAGAATCAAAGTCTTTCTAGGACCCAGAACAGATTTGTTTAATTCAGACTGAGGACTCCGTTATACCCTTGGAAATATGCAGTCTTGTTATCCTGATTATGTATTCAATTGCATAAATAAACAATTTTGCACTAAAAAGATATTCACATATTTGGAGTTATAAATATTTATCCAGACATATTCCTGAGTCAAGGGGAAAAAGAAACCATAAGGAGCATAGGATATCAGTTTTCACATTCTTGGCAATTATTTTATAAGAAGTAGGTGAAAATTAAGCATCCGCTTACTTCAGAGGGAGAGAGCTGAGCCTGTTGCCATTTCTCATGTGTTTCAAACACCACAGGAAGAAGTGGGAAAACTAAAGTATTTCATGCTTTCTTCTCCAACCAAAATAGAACGATAGAAAGTCAAAGTTTTAACTTGACTAAATATTATTTTTTTCACTTTGCTCCCTTTCATACTGGCATAAAAATACCAAAAGTGACTTATTTTGAAGTCGCTAAATGAAAGGGAAAATTAATTTGAACCGCAAATTAATAGTTGCTGAGCACAGCAGTGGCATCCAAACAAAACCTTGTGCGAACAACAAACTTTTCCACATATCTCATTTACCAACAAAGCAGGCAACACACTGCATCTGTGACTAATAATGTGAAAACATGTGGCGCAAAGACGTCTGATTAAAATGCAGAAGCCCTGATGGAAAACCAATAAAGAAACTTGATTTTGTGGAGTCATGACAGAAATTGATCCGGACTCTGACGGAACAGGTGAAAGCTCAGAGTGTTTGTGTGTCCTGTTTCTATCTTTGTGCACAACTACACAAATGTTCGCCATCTTTAGAAGATGATGATTTTTCCTTTATTTTCTTGTTGACAGTGCAGAAAGACAAGAACACCTTGCAGGTACGAGTTGTGACCTTAACCGACCAAACCCCTGTCCAGCCGCTTGTTTTATATGCATATGTTGCGTTGTGATATCTGAGTCTGAGCATGCTTCCGCCTCGTGCATCGTGCCTCTCTCTGTATGCAGGCCTCAAGCCTCCACCCCTGCCAGTGCAGCTCAACGCCAATATCCATCAGAGCCCACTCCATTCCCCGCTTTCATCATCTCTTTTATGTGCTCACGCCTGCCGTACTGTTGGCTTAATTAGGCCGCTGCTTTTCACAAGGGTCAAACAGACAACACAGCAGCCAGGACGCAAAAGCAGATAGCAGCACATCAACTGTCCATCCAGCTCTCCTCTACCTGCACAGCCTACCTTCACACAGGCAGGAGGTGAAAGGTGCACTCAGGTCTGAGCCGCCACCTCCAACAAATACAAAGTATCCCATCTCAACATGCTGACTAATCACCTCTGTTCAGCAACTGGATTTATTTGAACTTTTCCACATTTAATTCAACTTCAGTTTGCGCTCCCTGACTGGAGGCTTTTTCTGCGTTTGTCGAGCTTTGTCAGCCAATATGAAAAGCGCGGCCTACCTGTTGGAAGGGCATCCGGAGGGCACCCATATTGACATAGGGTGCAACTCTGCATGCGTCGAGGTGACTGCCGCTGCCCAGAATAACACCTGGAGAGAAGGGAAAGATGTCTGTCAGACAGCCAGACAGTTGTTGTTATGTGAGATGAGGTAGGTCAGAGTTTTTCCACATGCAGTCAAAAATGGTCAAATTGTGTCAAATTGTTAAAAAAAAAAAAAAAAGAAAGAAAGAAAGAAAGAAAAAGAAAAAAAAAACTAAAACAACCCCAAAATAAGAAGAAGACGAAAGAGATTATTCAGAAGACATTTACCTTTGTGCATCTGGTTTTCTTGTTTTCGACATTTTGCTCTTCTGTTCTGAAACCAAACCTGCAATTGAAAAAACAACAATATGAAATTTATTAGATATGCTCAAAGAAGACTAAATCCAATTTAACCACATAAATAAATAAACACAAATACACATCCATGTCCTATTTATTGTCGTATCCAAATTGTTAGGATAATATTGTAATTAAGGGGAAGGCCAGATGTTTGAAAAAGAAGAATAAGGGACAGCTTACACCTGAGGAAATACATCTCATTTAGCTTATTTAGAGTGAATGAATGATAGAATAAAAAAGTGGATATAAAAGGTTAAATATAAATTCAGATTGGAAAAACTAAATAACAGGGGGAAAAAAACTTAATATGCAACATTTCAGCAAATTATTATGGGAAATAATCATAAAATTAAAGGTTTAAATAATAAAACCCAACAAAACTACTATAAATTTCATATTTAACAAAAAAAAAAAAAAACACCACACCACAATTACACAATAGATGGTGTATTACAAGAACACTGTTTCTGTATTTCGTTAAGATGATAAAATAATAATAATAATTCGTTAAGCACCTTCCAATTTGCTGCCTGTCTCTGCAGCAGCAGGCTGCAGGCTGCGGCCTATTGTTAATCACCATCAACTTAATTTGCCTCGTTGAATAACATTATCTCCCCTCCCCTTCGACCCCGCAATGATTATCATTTACAGATGCGAAATTAGCGGCTGGTCGCGGACCACAAAGGGCGCAGACTGATGAGGAGGATGAGGAGAAGGAGGAGGAGGAGGAGGATGAGTGGAGGTGCCGTTTGGAAGCTGCGTAAAAGCGACGTTCAGCTGCGTGTCGATGGAAGAGCAATAAGAGGGCAGTCGATAAAGTGTCTATTAGGGACTGGGACGAGCAGGAAGCAAGAAAAAAGTGACGAGGAAATAAAAATGTATTGCTCGAATGCACCAGAAATAATCCTAGAAATGTATTTTTTTTTTATTTTATATCACAGCATTTAGACGTTCCATCAACCTTTTTAGCAATTGTAAATGAGATAAACTTAAAGTAAAATAATTTCATAGGATGCCCTCCTTATTATTATTATTTACTATAAATTGTCATGATTGTATTTGCTGTGAGCTATCGGCTCCACAATGGTAAATGATGGTAGAAAAAAAAGGTGTTTATGAAAATCCCAGGTGATTTTGCATAGACGCACAGTAATCCCTCAGATAAATCAAGGCTAATATTAGACGGGCCCGAGATCAATTCCAATTACGCGCCAGTATGTTAAGCAAAGTGAACTACACTGGTTCAGACAGTTATTTCTTCATTAAGGGCCACTCAATGATGCGCTTCACAAATACCCTAATCTCATTTCCTTTTTGATTTTTTATTAGAGACAGTGAATAATGACATTTAATTTAGCAGCGCGCCAGAAACCCAAAGATATTAGTCCTAACCGAATTACTGCCTGCTCCTCACCAAGCTCTCATAACTTTCAATTAGATTCATTGACAGCTGCTCGGAGCGCAGGTTCACAGCCTGCAACAGCCTCTGCTGCAATTCACTCTCACTAAACCCGGAGAGGAGGAAGAAAAAAAACACACACACAACACATGTCCGTGTGCGTAAAAAAAAAATACAAGTGTCTTTAAAAGGGAAAATGTTTAAAGAAGCGCACGGATTCTGCGCGATTTACCCAAAGAAACACGCTCCAGCGAGCTGCCAGCTCCTTATCAGCCATATTTACACCATAAATTATTTTTATGAACACACTTTATTTGCCATAATTACAGCGTTTCCCCTCCGTGTTATAGGCGACTACTGTCAACCCGGTCCGACAGTGTTCGAGCTCAAAATGGTAGTCGGTGGGCTTATAAAGCTCCATGATGGGGCTTATTCATCCTGTTAGACATAGCTGAACAGCAGCAGAGTTGGCCCACAATTGAATTATTTCTAATCTGTTTTTATGGGGACACTACATCAAGCCAGTGGCAGATATTACAAAGAAAATGAGGAGGGATACGAGTTGACATAAGAGCGCGTCCCCTGAAGCAGCCATTCAGGCTCTTCATTCATTTTAATCATTGCTTGGGATTTTTTTTTCTGCCTCCCCCCCGCCCCCCCACCTCCATACAAGCCTGCTCGGGTCGTAACAGTAGGAGTCCGCAGGCCTACAGTAGGTCGGTACATCCAGGATGATTCAAGGCAGTTTACACTTGTTTGACAGGAATGACTGATACTAACACACCGCCGATTAAACAAAAAACAACCCAAAAAATCCTTGTTTTTAATCGCATAGCAGAGGAAACAAAATCCCCCTGATTGGCGTTTTTAATATTTAGTCTAAATATGGATTCATGGAACAAATCCTCAAATCCACAGTAATTGTGCAGCAATTTTTGCAGATACTTGCACAAAACTCCCTTTAGGACGCCACAAACACTATGAAATAGAAGGGACTTTAAAAAACCCAGTGTTTTGTATGTTACTGGAGTATTTAGACTTGGGGCTGTTTTTAATCTCTCAGCCTGCTTGTACACTATAGCTCGCATCCTTTGAGTTTTCTGCATGTTTCAGAATACACAAAACTATTTTATATCACAAAAGAAACTAATGACAAACCTCGCTTTGCGCTATGATTTAAACACGACACATAAATGCTTTTATAAGATCGAAAATCCACATTACGATAAACCCTGCTGACAGGATTCTTTAAAGATTTATTTTTAAATGTTAGAAATAAATAAAAGCATCGCTGTATTATGTAGGAGGTTTTCTGATGTGGTAATTGTTTTAAGATGAATCCATAAGGTCTGCTTTTTCTCCTTAATGAGGCGCATTATTTCATCTTTTTTTTTTCTTAATTATAACGGTGTTTGTTTGCAGCATAAATCAAGGGCTGATTAGATCATTAACACAATTCCCACAGAGCGCAGTGATGAACTGAACACTTCACCCTCTCATACAGCTAAGAACTACATTAGCCTCTGCCTGAGTCTTTACAGGACACTAATATCGCTTCACAACACCAAAAAAAACAGTCACCAGCAAACAAAGGCGCAGTCGAGGCTCCAGTCCCTGCAGGAATATTAGCAGGAAAAACGTGTCTGTTGCTCTCACAGCAGCAGCAGCACATTGATTTGATTTCCAGTGCATGAGTTTTTTGTTTTAGAAAAATGAGCATAAAGGAAATCCTCACCTGCACTCTGGCCTCGGACAGTCCCAGCCGCTGGCTCAGCTCCTCTCTCATGAACGCGTCCGGGTAGTGTGTCTCGTCGAAGAGCCGCTCCAGCTCGTTGAGCTGCTCCAAGGTGAAGTTCGTGCGACTCCTCCGCTGCTTCAGTTTGCCCTGTGCGTCCTCGTCCTCGGACTTCACGTCCTCCTTTTTCTCCTTACACTCGTATATCCCTGTTAAACGGCCCATGTTGGGGGAGGAAATACAGAGGAAGACGCGTTTAAGAATGGAAAGCTTTGCGTAAACACAAACACCTCGCTTTTCTTTATTCCTTCTCTCATTCACACACGCACAACATCACGCATTGCAGGTCGCACATATAGCCTCACACAGGGCCCTGACAGGGGCCTTAGGCCTGGCAATTTGACAGCAACACACACACTCACACACACACACACACACACACACACATTACGCAGCCTATTCCTTCAAGAGAGAGAGAGAGGCCTGTGGCTGCATTTCCAGCCTCCATAAGTCAGCGGTAATGTCAGTGCCGTTATAAAAGTAGATCAGTCAGTGCATGGCATGTAAGCCTAATAAGGCTATAAGCGATTTAAAGAGCAGAGAATTAAGCTTCGACTAAACGGAGAAGATTTGGGCCTAATTAGTCGCCAGCGTAAAACAGACTGAGGTTATTTCAGGCTATAAATAAAAAGGCTTAGCTTTACCATTTCTCATCATTAATCCGTAAAATGTCTGTAATTCTCACTACTACCCTGCAAAGCTGTCACTATATAGGCTGTTCTATTTTTATTACACTATACTGTAGGCTGCTATTAGGTGTTATCAGTGTGTTATTATTAGTAACAGAGTTGACAACTGCGGCAATTACTGGCCTGTTCAGTCGCATTTTACTGTTTGTAGTTTGCTGATGTGAAATTGTGCTTTTTCTCTCAAAACTGAAAGCCATTTGATTTTAAATAAATGCTGATCAAATTAACCCCCTACAGACAAAACCAGGCACCAATGTCTGTCGGCTGGGTTTAATGGAAGGCAGAATAATACAGCTGACCCTCTTTTTTTAGTTCTTGTTGCAGCATAAATATAGAAAGAAGTCAAAATGACCTATTAAATGTTTACAAGTCTGCCCACTGCACACTGACTGACTACAGGGGAAAAGGAGGCCTGTCCAGCTGTCCATCAACAATTAATAAAAGACAGGCTTTTCCATTTTATGAGTGTGTTCAGTGGCAGAATTTTAAAATTACGCACAATTTTACATCTGAAAAACAGATTTAGTGAGTCCCCAGAAGTAGCATGGCAAAGCACATGCGGGCTTTAGATTATAAAACACACAAAATAACATGAACTTTCAAATAATGCCTGCTATATTATAAAATGCCCCTAAGAGTGCACAGAACAGTATAAAATACAAAAGATAAATAAAGTGGAGTGCGGCAGTTTTACGCACACTCGTCTTGGATTAACAGTGGCCAAATATTTTAGCATTGCCTCAAAATGTTACATTTCCATCCAAATAAAGGTAAAGCCAATATCAAACAGCACAGATATAATATAGTTCTATCAGAAAAAATGTATTAAAAAAGACCCTGTGATCATTTTTCCCCCGTTTAGCCAAAGACTGAACGTCTGAAAACAATCATTAAACAGTTAAAACGACGGCCAGGCAAAGGGCCCGCCTCCTGCTATGTAAAATAATCACCGTAATAACAGAATTATCTGTTAACTTTCAGAAAACTACAGTAACTAAACGTGTTTAAACCATCAACTCTTTTTTTTACGCGCAGATTTGTAAGCATTTGTAAAGAGAGAAAAAAATATCGCTCCCGGTGCAAGACAACTGAACTTGCCCGACAAGCAACACGGAACATTTCTTCTAAATGAAAAATGAAAAGAAAATAATAAATAAATCTCTTACCCTCTGTCGCCCTCGAAACGTTAAAGTCCTTCAGTTTCTCCTTTTCCAGCTCGACGTGGTCCTTGAACAGATGCACCGGGCAGTGGTTGCTCTCCGTTATGTCCTGCAGGTTTGTCTCCGGGCTGCCCAGCTCCCTCGCCCTTGTCAAGCCGCTCTCCAAAACTTCCCTGTACGTGATACTCTCTTTGCTGCTCTCCTTGCTTTTCTGATCGAAAGATTTCGACACGAATGCCGTAAGTTCTTCCATGGTCGGCTCTGTGGCTCAGTAGTGGTCCTGGTCAGGGGAAATCCACCGTGAATTCTCAGTATATACCTTACCGTGTCTATATACACCAGCTCTGCTCACGGATACGCTCTGGATTTTCTTTTTTTTTTTTTTTTTTTTTTTTTTTTTTGGGAGGCAGGCAGGCAGCAGCGATAGATAGAAGGGGTGGAGAGGAGGTGAGATCACTCCTGCTGTTGTGACTGTGTATTTGAGAGCACACTATTTATACACGGCCAACTCAGCCCAGCCCCCCCACCCCCTCTTTCCCTCCGATCTCTGTGTCTTGAGCAATTACAGGCCGCCTCGACTTTGCAGAATTCAACTTTCAGCAGCTTTTTTTTTTTTTTCTTCTCCTTCTCCTTCTTCTCCTTCTTCCACAAATCAATGATGGAACTGATGGAGGCGGTTAATTGAATTACGGGGTCATTAAAATGCCTACGGTGGCTCACTCCTGCGAGGAGGCTGTATATGGCTGTTACGTCTAATTAATTCGGCGAAAATTTAATTAACGCGATTTAGGAAGATACGAATGCTGGGTTTGTGGAATTTCCCCTTGATTTTTTTTTTTTTTATTGTTTGTTGAGTTGACAAATGTGTTTGAAAGCTTATCTGTGCCCATGAGCCACCTCCAGCCTGTGATTGTGTTGAATATCAGCTGATCTATAAAGTGGGATTAGCTCACAATTCTAAACGCATGTATGCAGAGTCAAACCAGCACCTGAAAGCTCAGAACTAACAGAAAATACAGAGATCTGCTCCAACATAAATACACTAACTAACCCTAATCATGTGAAACATCATAACAGATTAATATAAGATTTTTTTAAACTAATTCTAGTGCAGGTAACTTCTCATTTCTTGGGATTTTAAGGTGATTTCCAGCAACTTTCTGCCCACAAGTGTATTTCACATACATCTAAACACACACTAGAAATCAAAACTGACTCAACAGCAAGAAACACATAATTAAGGGATAATGTTGTTATTAATATTGAACTGTTGTAAATTCCCTTTTGTGCATTCGCTTGTAATCCTCTGCGGTTTCTGGTCACAAATATGGGATAGAAATCAATAAGATATCAGCAGTGAAAAAATGTTCCCTCTATTTACAGGCTTTTTCATGGGAATAAGTGAGCCCATAATGGCTTAACGTTATCTAAGTCGTTCATCAGTCCAGCACACAAACACAAAAGGCCGGCAGAGGAGTGGGATCCCCTGGGTGTTGCGCCCTGAGCGGGCCCGCCACTGTGAAGGTCTCATATCTCAGCTCTCTAATGACTCGGTTTGATGTCTCTCCATTTATCAGCGCAGCCCGCTTCACATCGCTGCGGCTGACGCACAAGTCGAGGTCTCTCCCTTGTGCCATGAACTGCGCCTTTTGTTGTTAATAGACCTAAATCCTCTTTAAGACGCAAATCTGCGCTCCCAGTCGTGTGCCTCAATATCATCCCGCAATGAAGTGGCGCTTACGAAGAAAAAAAAAAAAGAGGGGGGCGCACGTGTTTGGAACGAAATAATCCACCAACGGGGGCTTTTAAAATTAAATTAAGGTGAATATCCAAAGTTTTACGCACGACTTTTGCGTGTGCCATCTAACTTTAAGATATCAAAAATAGAATTCTACATTTTTATTTGTTAGGTGGTTATTTTAATGCGTAATTTAAAATATGTTCCTGTTGGATTTGACAGTTTGCACATTCAGAAACTCAAAAAACCCGCAATCTGACATTTTAAACCAATTAGTCTGTATATGTAGAATATTTACCACCACATATGTAAGTACATTTATTAAGTATTTTTTTTCAACATCACTTTGTATTTTCAGCACTAAAGCTTATTTGCTCTTCTTCCGTGAAACAAAACATTCCCCCAGAATAATAAGGAAAACATATTGCCAGAAGGCCTATAGGCAACGCATGTTTAATATGAATGACGAACACAGCGCCTAATTAAAATAAGTGCAGCACCGTGTATCTATTTAATGCTTCAGCTTTACTACATTTTTATTTGAGTTTATTCTCTGTTAATTAAACAGCAGCTGTAGTAAACTCTGGTTTTCTCAGGTCCACGTCCTCTAACCATTTAGTGCGCACATATTTAGTGCATGTTATCTCTCAGACGTTGAGGCATGTTGTTGTCCAATCAGCGGCAGCCTGGAGGAATATCAGAAGAAATCCAGGAGGGATGCTCTTTACGCACCAACGCTGGTGTCGCTACAGTTTAGTGGCCAAAAACTCTTAAAGGGGCCTCAATCATATTTTTCACTTCGCCGTTCATTCCCCACGATTCCAACACCCCGCCTTCCCTGCTGCACCAGCAAAAGCCTGTTATTTTTAATTATTCACTAACTTATTTATTACACTGTTGTTATTGTTGATTATTTTAGCCAGTGTGTCCGGCCACAGGACAAATAGAATTAAATTAAAGTGCAAAGCATAACAGAGAAATTATTATTATTATTATTATTATTATTATTATTATTATTATTATTATTATTATTATTATTATTATTATGCTGCAACATTGTACTGTATTTTTATAGTTTGGGGTTCATGCTATATTTATTTTTTATTGTAATTTTAATGATGACACAGTGTGTATACTATCATCAGGTTAGAGATCTAATTTTTTATTTTTTAAAATTTAATTGCCTTTCTAATTCATTCACTAGTAAGCAGCTGCGACCATTGCATTCTCTCATAATCATAAAATCACATTCACAACCACTCTACAAGGGTTATTCTTGGTATGTCTTTGTGGTTATTTGAACTAGCTAAGCACATAATCTCAAAAACTACCCTGGAAGATACTGATAGTCCACCTTTGCACTTTATTTAATGTGCTAAAAAAAAAAATAGCCTGAGCGCCACAACTTCCAAGAGGCAGCATGTTCCTTTTGTAGTAAGAACTAAAATGCAGTCCTCGCTCAGTTTCAGGACGTGGCGAGTTGTGTCTTTTACTGTCCATAAACCCAGTCATGCCCTGATCGCCCATTTCTTGCTAATTAGGGAGCTGAGGAATTCCTCCTCTACCTGCTTGTGAAGGCTTTGGAACATTATCAAGACATCAGCAGACTTAAATGAGTCTGTGCTGGCTGGTGGAGAGTAGAGAGAGAGAGAGAGAGATAGAGAGAGAGAGAGGGAGAGAGAGAGAGAGGAGGGAAGAGAGAGGGGGGGGAGACAGTATGGAGGAAGGGGAGATAAAGTGGGGGACATACTGTAGCAATGCAAAGCAACGACTGAAATAGGATTTCGTTGCTCCCGTTGATCGCACACCAGATCTACACATCTGGGCAGCATTTTGTAAAAAAAAAAAAAAAAAAAGAGAGAGAGAGAATTGAGCTGCTTTAGAGCTCTGTGGAGCATGTGTGAAGGTTTGAATCCCTCTGGAGTATTTCACATTTGAAGGAGACGGGGAATACAGAGAGGGTCAGAGCAGCCGCTGCCTGCTTTGGACACAAGTCTTCACTCCAGCAAAATGCCACAGCACTGCTTCAACCTGTTCCCTCCGCCACACTAATCCCTCATGTGTGAAGGGACGGATCAGGCTAAATGCAGAGCTCACCTCCTGGAAGTTGGCCAAGATTATTTTTTTTTTCACTTATGAGAGGAGTCATTTACAAAAAATCCTTCTAAAATTAGCAATTTAAAAAAAAAAGTGTCAGCATGACTTAACTGATTCTTGTGCTAACAGCTGTGCATGTGTTAAAAAAAGAAAGAAAGAAAGAAACTGGGTAAAAGTGAGACAAAAAAAATAATAAGAGTGTTTTTACATGCATGTATCCATCCTCTTCTCAACATTTGACAGATGTGATTGTCTAAATGTTATACTTGGCCCCAAGAGCGAAGAGGGACTTAAGAAAATTCAACTTAAAAAGCAACTACAGCACCTCTGTCTTCTAATGTAATTTCCATGAACATAAAGCCTGTTTTAGAGCTTATCTTCAAATATCATCATCTGGTTCTATAGGGACAGTGGAACGGTAAAAGAAAAAAAAAAAAAAAACGCAATAAAGTGGTTTACTTGAATTTGATTTAGCAATGCAGAGATGCTGTACAGATGTGGGCCTGTGCAGAAAAACGGAAAATTGGATTCTTCCCCTGGTACGCACAAAAAAAAAAAAAAAGTAAACCTTTTCTATGAGGACAAAGAAGATTTGAAGTTGCAGTCGTGTTAATGACAGTGATTGTGTGTGTGTTTATTAGAGTCCTCTGGCTTGTCTGCGGGTGCAGCGATCTCATGGTTTGCTACGTTGTCTGGAGCCTTCATTTAGGTCCTTTCGCAGAGCTGCAGCGGTCCACAGAGACTACAGGCTGTTCTGTGTTCAAAAGCCTTGTCTGCCATCTAAATGAGGCTTTCGGGGCAAAAAAAAAGAAAGAAAAAATTCAACATGAAAATACCACAATATGCTGAACATTAGCTCACACTCAACTGGGATGTTTTGGGAATATGTTGGTTCTCCTTTTTGGATTGTTATCTTTCCCTGAGTATTCTCTAACTGCTATCTACCCACAGGGCACCAGGGCCTCTAGTTTGGGAGGAAAAAAAAGGCATGAAATTGACATTATACCCTTAAATGCAGTGCAGATTTGCAGGAAACACAGTAATCCACTGACAATTCTTGATAAATCAAACACACACTCACGATTCTCGCTCCCTAACAAGCCTAGTTTGCTCTTAAAGCTACTCGTTAATTACTAGCATCTTCTTAATGCTGATGCCTTTTCTTTCAAGCCAAGAAAATGAGAGTGTTTTCCTCAAGTCCCTGTACAGATCCCGTTGTTCCTATGGTCAAAGACTCTGGGGGGATGCAACAATTTATACAAATCAATAGCATTCAAATAATTCATGACTGATCACATGGTGTTTTAGCTCCTTATTTGCAGTAGAAAACCATGTTTTGTTTGGCTCCCAGAGGGCAACATGAAAGACCCGGGGAGAGGCGGGGAGAATTGGGAATGGAACTGGAGAGAGTGCATGAG